ATTCTTAATGTAATAACAGTACTATCAATTAGTAAATAAAGTCTCGCATTTTATGCTTATTCGCAGTAAAAAAAAAATAAAAATAAATTATAAATAGAAAATTATTTGATTAATAAAAAATTATAAAAAATTTTTATAATGTTCAAATTAATTTTATAAAAGTTATTTTATTTTTATTTTATAAAAAATAATTTTTAAAAAAGTTTTGTATTTTATATTAAATTTTGATAAATTTTTTTAATTAAAAAATTAAATAAGTAACTTAAAATTTAATAAAAATTATTTTTTAATTAATTTTGTTTTTATTTTACAAATTGATAAATTAAAATTATTATCAATAATTTATTTATTTATTATAATTTAATTAAATCAATATATTGTATTTTGTAATATTTTATTTTGATATAATAATGAATTTTAATAAATTTTGATTATATATTAATAAAAACTTATTAAGTAAATTTGTTTTTTAGATTCTTATTAATATATATTTAGATATTTATTTTATTTTATTAATTATTTATTGAATTGTAAATAAAAATTAAAATTAAAAATTTATTTGAAAACTTTAGATAAACTGTATATTATTAAATATTATTTTAAAAAAAATTAATTTCTAATATTTATAATAAATCTTTTTTTGCTAATTTTTTTATTTTTTAATAATTTACTTTTTAAAATCAATGTTTTTTTTATTTTTCTTTTTAAAAAAATTTGTTTATTTTATTTATAGCAAAAGTATTTTATAAAAAGAAAAAATATTATCAAAAAATATTTTTTACTATATTTGAAACTTTAAAAATAAACTATCAGTAAATATATTTTTCAAGTTTTATAAAAATCTTAAATTTATTATAAGTAAATACCTTTAACTAAAACAAATTAATAAACTAATAAAATCTATAATTTTTTTGATAAATTGCAATTCATTATTATAATATATAAAGTATATAATTTGAAGACAAAGAAATAATAGTATAAAAATATTTTTTTAAATAAAGAATTAAATTCATTAATAAAAATAAATAATAAATCAAATAGATAAAATTATATTAAAATACTTAAAAACATTTATTATTTTTAATTAATAATGATTTTAATTATAAAAAATATTTTTTTCAAAATGATAATATTTTAATTTATATTGCTAAAGATATTTAATAATGAATTTTAAAAAATAAAATCTGGATTTTATTTGATTAATCAAGTTAATCTCTTAATTTAAATTCAATTGAATATTTTTGATCTGAATTGAAAAAATAAATAAGGAATAGATTAGAAAATATCAAAAATTAGAAATTGAATTATACAAAAATAAAGTAAAATTTCAAGAAATCAATTAATGAATTATATAAAAAGTATAACATATGAATAGAAGCAATTATTAAAAATAATACATAGTTAATAGAATATTGATTTTATATGAATAATTTATTACATAAAATATAACATTAAAATTTTAAATAGAATTATTATGTGTAATTAATAAATAAATGATATGCAATACTTTTATCCAGATAATGTATATTTTAAAAAGATTATGCTATAACAAATCAACAAAAATAAGATAGATAGAAATAATATTTTATTTAGTTTATAAAAAAAATTTCAATTGAATATATATAAAGTTAATTTCAAAATGAAATATGATAATATATCTACAGTATATGAATTCATTATAATAATAGATTCAGATAACAAAATAACAATAATAATATTATTATTAATGAATTACTGTGATTGATTTAAATAAAATATTATTTATTAATTAATTACTTGGAATTAAAAAATCGAAATATACAGTATAAATTTTTCTAAAATTTAAAAGATACTGTATGTAATGTATTATGTTCCAATTCGACAAAAAAATTAATTTTTAATTTTAATCTTGAAATAATAATGTTCAACAATTAACTGTATGATATCATCAAGTTAAAAAATTTTTTGATGTGTAATCATAATAATCAGCTATGTCTGATGTCTTTTATTCAACTTTTGTTTCTCAAATATAATGGATAAACAGAAGGTTTTTAACCCATACCTGAAAGTGAAACTAACTGAAATACGGTATTTATGTTAAGAATTTAGTAATGTAAGGTTCAAACATTTGATTCTTTAATTGCTCAACTCTAAGTAAATTAATGTGACAGCTTAATATAAAAAAATAATATGTTGGTCTATTATCTGTTTTTTTTTACTTTCGTTTAAAAAAATTCATCGGATTTTTATTCCGGAGGATATATTTTATTTGAATTATATTCGTACTAAGCAACATCTGAATAAAGATAAAATAAAATATTTTGTTAATCTCGAATTCCATGACATTCTGGTCACGTAAATCGAAAGCATATGATGTGCAGTTTATTTATAATGTGAGTAAACAAATGCTAAATGCTCTGGAGGGTAAAAAATTAAATGCTTTGCGGTTTTTTATATGTTTAAGAGTATCTATTTTTTGAATGATCTTATAGTAATAGACGAGTCATGTTTTCCATATTTTTGAAGTTGCAAATCTTCTAGTGTAAATGCATCATATCTTAAATCCGATCACTCCCAATGTGGATTGTTATGATTTATGAGCAAACTTTTTGTGTAATCAACTATATCTTTATATCTTATATCAAAGTATTACCATACTTGACCTGAAATATTGGCAATTTTTTACTCATCTGACGTCTGTTTTTGTTCAAATAGAAAATCGAAAATGCATGTTTGTGATTGTGTTCAGATACATATTGGTATTACATAACCCTTCATTTTTACGTATTTAAATTGTCTATTCGCTACGATAAAAAAGCAACTATATTTATTTAAACGTGTGATTTTTGAGTTTTCAAAGAGACAAAGATATGAAATTTTCTAGGAAAATAGAATTTGTGTCTTTATCAATAGCACTTCTATTTACGTTCCTCGTGGAAGTTTCAGGGTCATGGCCAGGAACTGATCAACCTCCGCCAATACGAGATGACTTCAATGCACTTGTGGACTTCACCAAAATACCACCTGCACCAGTTAGATCCAATGAGACTTTATGTCCAGAGACAGATACCTATTGCAATTTTGCGTGTACGGGATGCGTAAATGGTGATATTACTGTTTGTCCGAATCCACGAGGTAATCAATTTCTTTTTCAGTTACATGATATACAGTAATTTACGTGCTCACATATGCAAGTTTGATTTTTTTAGATTGGGGTCTTACTTTTGATGATGGCCCAACGTAAATGGTTTGATATTATTTTACATATTCCCCTGGTACAAAGGCATCAATTTTTTGTTATTTCTCTATAGAACTTTTACGATCGATCTCCTAAATTATTTGAAGCCACGTGGACTTAAAATTACTTTTTTTGTGGTTGGTTCTCGAGTTGCCGAAAGTCCTGAAATTTTAAAAATGGCCTATGACCTAGGTATATATTGGAAAATAAATAATTATTTTAGCATTTCTGCAAATGCTAATGATAGTATCTGTTATGTATGAATGTCTGTCTGTCTGTCAAGGTCATGAAATTGGAGTTCATACATGGTCACATCCATACCTAACCACCCAGAGTAACGAACAAATAATAGCCGAATTACAATGGACCGCTGAGATTATAAAGGCCACCATTGGTGTTATTCCTGCGTACATGCGTCCTCCGTTCGGAGATGTTGATGATCGAGTCCGTAATATCGCATCTCAACTTGGATATAAAGTTGTCATATGGGATAGGGACACCAAAGATTGGACATTCACGAAGGATCTTAGTTTTGATTTTAATTGGATCAAAGGTAATTTTACCGAGTGGGTACAAGAAAAGCCTACCACTGGTCATATATCACTTCAACACGACTTATATAATCAGACTGCTTCGCAAGGACCAAAAGTTGTGCCCATTGTCTTGGGTGCGAACTATACCATCAAATCTGTAGCTTCATGCATTGGGGATAATGACCCTTATCAAAGAAAAAAAGTTTTAAACAATCCACCTAAAAACAATTTTACTAGTGTTTCGCAAGATCAACCCACTTTAACTACTGTGATACAAGAGTCGACTATGATGACTACCAATTTGCCCGTGTCAACTCAGACATTCTACGTTACAAATGTTGCCAACAATCAACGAAATTTTCTCAATTATTTAGTCATGACTGTCAATATTTACGTCTTTGTACATTCAGTGATCATCAATTCCATGTAAAAAATAAAGGCATTTTTGGAGAAGATTGCGTGTGTACTTTTTTAAAGATAAGGCATGTGACCGGAAAAACCAAGAACTAATTAGCGAAATGCCCAAAATTAGACATAATCCAGAATTTCAATTTCACATTACGCAATCAGTCACAGTATTGGCGTATTTATAAATGACGAATTATAAATTAATAGATAAAAAAAGGTATATTAATTAAACTGTACACTTAAATTAATTATCCGGTTTTTTGGTTCTGTTACATAAAAATTGTAGTATCAACGTTAATTTTTATGAAGTTACAATATATTGTAGTGGGGAAACGGCGAGTCTATCGCTTGCACACAGGTACGTCGCACAGCAGCTAAGTGGGCATACCTTGCACTATTTAGCTATATGGTTCGTATCGGCACTGACACTATTTTCTTGTAGGCGAAAGAGACGATTGGATCTAACCGATCTTAGTCCGTGGGTCACGTGATCCCGGCGAAACTAAAATATGGCACTAAGAAAATGGAACATACAGGTATTTATTATACAGATAAACTTTATACGTAATATGAGCACACTTGTTACCTTTATTATAATAAAAATCAAGTATATTTATACATTTTTTTATTATTTCTTTATCCCAATTATTTTTTTTATCTTCTGTATTCTTATCACAATATCCAGTTTAGCATCATGTAAAAAATCACTCCTTTCTTTCTATAACAATATAATTAATAAAAACATGTCAAATAAATTTTAACTTTTAAAATTATATCGCTAATATAATAAGATATTCTTGCTATAAAAATAATTAATTATAAGTATAATTCAATACTATTTTTATTTATTTAAATTTATTTTATTTAAATTTAAATTGTAAACTTGATAGTTTTTTTGTATAAAATTATAATATTTGTAATTATTCAATTTAATTTTAATGTGAAATATTTTAAAAACAATAACATATTATTTATACTATTTATAAAATCATATAAGTTTCAAGTAATCTTTTTTTAAAAAAATTAATTTATATTTTTATTAAATTGAATTATTAATAATCTAAATTTCAATTTTCAAATTTTTTACAAATTATAAACAAATTGTATTTATTAAAATAATTATTGTTATTATATTATTGATTCTCAAAGATATTAATATTATAGTTTTTTTAATATTAATTTTTTAATTATTATTTTAAATCAATATTTAATAATTATTTTTTTTATTTTTTGTTTAATATATATAATTAATATACTTTTTTAAACACTATTTTATAAATAATTAATACTATCTATATTTATTATAATTTTTAAATAGAATATAGAATTATATTTTATACATTAAATTTTATTTCTATATAATTTTAAATTTAATTATTTATAATAATTTTTTCAATATACATATATATAACTTGTTATTATTACTTTTACTATATTAAATATTCTCTTTTAATTATTTTTATAACTTCTACAAATTATTTTTATAATATAAATTATTATAAAATATAATATTAAAATAAAAAATTAATAATATAATTTAAAAAATAATTAATATATCAAGATTTATATTTTTAGTTCTAATATTATTATTATTATTATTTTGAAAAGAGCAAATGACTATCACACTTTATTATATATTATTATACTTTTACTTACTTACAAGATAAGATACAATAATCAATAGCACGATATATGTCTCTCTTTGCTAGAAAAAGTTTAACACAAGGCTCCCATATGGGGCCAGACCCCTGTGCTCTTTTAACACCATCCAAGGAATATAAACAAAAGGAAATTCAAAAATCTATATCTAATTATAAATGGCATCCAGCTACCTGGAGTTAAATATATACCTAATTACATGAAGACACTGCAGCCAGTCTATACAAGTTAACCTCCAAGTCATAATTAGGATTGACACGCCTGCTTTCCAAATATAGCTTGATGTACAGCAAGCGGAGTGGTGTTGGAGGTAGTAAAAAATGTGTACCTTTTTACATAAAGGTGCTATAGCCACTTTATACAGGTTTGTCTTCAAGTCACAAAAAGAATTTGATACACCCATGCTTCAAGTGTGACAGAAGTGTTCTATGTATAAAGTTCTTATTGGTTTCCTTAGTGGCACTGGAACCTAACCTTGTACAAAAGACCTACATTGTTAGAGGAGTGAGTAAGAAACTTTCGTTATTGTCATCAGCTTGTGTTGTGGAGGTAACTAGAATCCCTGATTGTCACATATTACCCTATTAAGTTTCCCAATCACCAGCATGATATCTGCAACTAACCTAACTTATTGCTAGTTGCATTGGCATTGGCTATTATTTTACTCTAGATACTATGGGACACAACTCCTTGAGTACTTTTGGATAATAATAGTTATACAGAGATTTCTTGGATGTATCTAGTCTAACCGCTGATTGGTAAACAATGCCAGGTTTGGTAATGATGACCATGTTGATCTTTTGGAGGGGTAACACTAGTCCAAATTGGGTTATTCGGCTGCCGAATTATAGTCGATTAAATTCAAATTTATTAATAAAAGTTTATACTGAAGTTTTGTTATTTGGTCCAATTTATGCCACTCGGCACTTAAAAAAAACA